ATCATCTATCTATCTATCTATCTATCTATCTCTATATCTATCTATCATCTATCTATCTATCTATCTATCTATCTATCTAATCTATTTATTGATTTAAGACATACTATATACTGATATGGCTTCATTACAAAACACAAAAAAATACTATTCCTAAGTGGTATTAAATTCGCAAGAACAGTGGTTAGGATTTCAACGTATATTTTAAGGGGACTCCATTTCATTAATAATAGAAAGTGTATCATTTTCAAGAACAAATTTTATCAGTGAGAGGTTAAAATGCAGTAATCATAACTCTGTCAAAAAGATAGCAATAAGGTAAGTGAAGAGTCGCTACTATTTCCATAGTCCCTCCCCTGCCAAAACCAAATGTGGAATGGTAAACTACTTCAAGTTTTACATGGGATGACTGCCTCTGCTTTTCACCAGACCGCATCACCTTGTGCTATATTCCTGATGAAAAGGCCTAGATGTCATATCTAACTTTCTTTGGCTGCACAAAGGAAAAGGAGCCTCCACTCCACACTAGGCCAGGGGTGATTTCCACAAAGTAGAAGTCAGACCTGCCTCCACCTTCCATCCTTCTTTTGGTCCCATTCTGATGCCAATTTTTCCTCCCAATACCACTCTCCTTCTCTTTTAGCTTCAATAACCCATTGCAATGGCTACAAAGAGCTCATAGATGGTACTCAGGATGATGGAGGCTTATTGGTGAAGTTAACAGGTTACAAATCAGGATCAGAAAACATTAAAGATATAGTCTTTTGTCCACAGTAGTATTCTGCTCAGTCAGCAGCTCCTCTGGTCCTTAGCTTCTCAGCCATGTAGTCCCTTGGCCTCGGCTTTGTCTCATGTGACGTGACGTCTCCTTCTCTGTCTGCCTCATGTTCTCTCACTACTCTATTGCTTTGTCCTTTTGTCTCAGTGAAGCTCCTCTGCTCAGTCTAAGGCTTTCAGCAGGGCGTGGCCATTGATGTCGATGTTCCCTCTGCCACTCCGGCAGGGGTTTTGCATGTGCTTTGTTGGTGGCTCTTCTTTCTTGCTAATCATAAGGTTTTCTGTGCCATCTTCTGAGATACCTTTTTTACACCCAAACACCTGGTAAAATTAACCAATCCTCTTTTTAGTGTTTCATACACCCTATTTGCATGGTCCCCACTCAACCATTTGGTGAGAATTTCAAAGAAGAAGATGGAAGAGCCATACATAAGTTATTTCACTTCACCATAATTCTCACCCCACTCTAAAGTTAGCTTCTTGACATTTAAGCTCTTGGCCAGAGCCCTTAATACTGTCTTTACTTAATTTCAAGATTAGCAATACTCAGGTGATCCACGGTCACAAAGGGAACTCATCTCTGTTGCATTTTGATTTGTCAGAGCGGGTATACTCACGGCTATCAATTCTATTCAAACATAAGGCCACCCTATAAGGCAGAGTCGAACTACCAAATACTGTTTCCAAAGTTGTCATTTTAATAGAAGCAGATTTCCTTATCTTGCTAGCATGAAGTGCCTGATCCAACACTTAGCCCACTCTGATACCAATGCATGGGTTCTGGTATATGTAAATGGATTCTTCATGTGGTTGAATAAAATAGTCCTCAGAGGGACTGGGAGGATGAAATCTAATTGGATGTGTTTGCTCTTGAGTGACTCTCTTCTTTTAAAAATGTGGCTAGTGAAGCACCTGACACCTAGTTTAGTGAAATGTTTATTGTTGCTTACCAAGGCCGATCCCTTCTTAAGGAGCTTATGAAGTAGAAGATCAAGCATGAGATGCGTAATTGTTCCTCAATAGAGAAATGAGTCAGCCGTAGCATCGAGCATTTGAACAGAATATTATTTTAAGATTTACTGGGAAATAGCTGTTTTCTAAGACCTTACAGATTGTGGGCCAGATTTTAGCCTGTGTGACAGCTCTCTAGCGTTATCCTTGTGTGACAGTTCTCTAATCTGCGATAATCAAAACACAGTATTGGAAGGCACAGCTTTTGATATTTTATTATTTATGAGAGCAACTTTTTGGTTAAAAAACAGGGCACTGAAAGGGACATGAATCAATGCATTCTTACTAAGCTGTAAATATTGTGCTAATTTAGCTGATGGGTTTTTTAAGTTCTATATTACTCTATAAAAAAGGGAACTAACACATAGTAAGAAACCTGAGTTAAAATAAATATTTATTTTTCTCCATTTGTTGAACTTTTAAAACTACGTCTGTTGTGGATATTCTTCTCTTTATTAAACACTTTAATAGCATAAATTTAAAGAAGAACCTGAGACATTATTTTTCACTTTCTGTATATGCTATCCCTAAAGAGTTGTAATAACTTTATTCATTATGGTCTACTTTAACATATGCATCACCACATCGTGCTTCGTAATGTAAAGGGTTAGCAAAAATGAAGAAGTCCTTCGAAAGGTGGATTGACACAGTGACTACAACAGTGGACTCAAACATAACACCAATTGTGAACATGATGCCGGATCAGTCAGGGTTTCATTTCGTTGTGCACATAGGATCCCTATGAGTCAGCAGCAACTTACAGGCACTTAACAACTAATGACTTGATCAGATTCCTAAGTTTATCTAACAGACATTTTCTGTTTTGTTTAAAACACATTTTATTGTGTTTTAGGTAAACGTTTACATAGCTAATTAGGTTCCTCTTTCAGTAATGCTCATACAAATTGTTTTATGATGTTGGTGACAATTTTTATAGCATGTCAGCATTCTCTTTATTTCTGTTCAGTTTGTGTTATTTACATTTATGTAGATACTATACAAAAATTGTGATGATTGTAAAGATTTGGACATTGCTCTGTTCTGTTATATATAGGGTGCTGTGGATCAGATCCAAATGGATGGTCCCTACAGTTTTCTCTTTATGTCTCCTCATTTTTACTTTGGGGTAAATGCTAATTATTTGGTTTCATATATATAATTGTTTAAGAGATCACAATACTCACAGTGATATTGTATATTTTATTATGTCAATCTTTACTTAATTGAATGATGACCTACTTAACCAGTTTCAAATCCATGTTCACGGGTTAATTTCGGGTGATATTTTTGGGGATTCTCTCAGTCTTTATCAAATTTTAACAAAAATTTCATTTTTGTTGTACACTTTCCTCGTTTCTGGGTCAGAATGGGTGTAGGGGTAGCTGGGCACTATATAATTCCTTTGGTCTCATATTAGAAGAAGCCATGGTTCATTAGGGCTATTAGTCCAGTGGACTAATTTCTTCACTGAGCTATTAATTACCTTGATTTTCTTTTGCTCCATGCCAGTAGAGACCAATAGTTGTAACTTAGATGCCCTTTCACAAGTATTTTTTAAGATGGTAGATATTATTTACCGATATAGAATGTAGGATATTATTGTCATGGATCAAATTTTATTCTTCATCCCCTCTCAAAATATTTGCCTAGTTGGATGGGCCATGATTATCAATCAGTAGTATGACCTCACTAGTGAGGTAATGATGTAATTTGGTATTAACGTAATGATCCTCCATGATGTGATTTTATATAAGAAGATTAAGATGGGGAGTTAACACCCTTAATGCCATCACAACCCTGATTTGATATAAAGGAAGCTGTCCTGGGATGTGGCCTGCAACACCTTTTACTATACAAGAGATAAAAGCAAATAAAAGTGATCAAGGAGAGAAGGGTATCTTACCACCAAGAAAAAGGCGCAGGGAGTGGAATGCTTTCTTTAGGCATGGGGCTCCTGTGCTGAGAAACTCCTAGATGGGAAAGATTGATGACAAAAACTTTCCTCAGGTCTGTAATCTTGGTGGGCGATACAGAGTTGTGTGCGTTCACTGTAAGTGCAGACCAACAAGAAGTTGACCCTACTTTTGAGCTCCCTCTTTAATGGGGGGATTCTTCCAGTTGCCGGGAGAAAATGGTAACTAAAGCTAGAGAGTAGGGACAAGGCAAGTTGAAAAAACAAAAAAACAAAAAACAAAAAAACTTTCCTCATTAATCAACAGAAGAAAAATTATTCCACTAGAGCTAGTGTCCTGAATTTGGACTTATTGCCTCTTAAACTGTGACAGAATATGTTTCTCTTTGTTAATATAACCCATTTCTTTGTATCACTGTGTGGTAGTTACATAATCTGGTGTCAATTTGTGAAGCGCTGGAGTCTAGCCTGTCAATCAGGTCACAGTTTGATGACCTAATCTGGAAGTGCCAGAGAGATAAATAGCTCACTGGAGAGCAGACACAGACAGACTCTCTCTGCTTTGTCTTTCCTGCTGACAAGACACATGGAGCTAGAGCCCTGGAGCTAGAGGAGCTCCGTGGAGACCCCGGCCAGTGCTAAAATGCTTATACCGCCACTGTATCCACAAGAGTTTCCATCTACTGGCCTATGATCTCCCTGCATTAGGTGTCATTACATGTGTTTTGTGAGTCTGAAGAGGAATTTATACACTGGTATAGGACATATGGGTTAATATCAGATTTATGATCTGGGCTGGGCTGGGATATTTTTTCAATATTCAATTGTTCTTGTATATAAAGCTCTTTCTTATACACATATGAGGGTCTATGAATTTGTTTCTCTAGTCAACCCAGACTAACACACACTGTTACAGCAATACTGGATATCTAAGAGAACTATCTTTGCAAACTATTTTAAGACAGGAGTAAGTTGCTTCCTGAGAGTACAGCACCTAGCAAATTTATCTAATCCTGCAAGGTGTTTGATTATGTCTTGAAAGTTTTCATAAGTGTGTTCCCCTACATAGTATATCAGATATGTCATTATATTATGTATCCTTGTGATTTTATAATAGTGGAGCCCTACAATATTTATCTTTTTGTGTTGACTTATTTCATCTATCATGATGTCCTCGAGATTCACCTATATTAAAAGAGGTTTTGTGGAACGCTCAATGTTCCTTACATTTGTTTAGCATTCTAGTGTATGTATGTCAGTTTTCTACACGTTAATTAATTGATAGGCACTTTTGTTGTTGTTGTTGTAAACAATGCAGTAGTGGTTTGTTGTTGTTAAGCACGATATAGGTCAGCGGTTCTCAACCTGTGAGTTGCAACTCCTTTGGGGGTCAAACAAACCTTTCACAGGTGTTGCCCGATTCATAACAGTAGCAAAATTACAATTATGAAGTAGCAACGAAAATAATTTTGCGGTTGTCAGGTCACCACAACATGAGGGACTATATTAAAGGGTCACATCATTAGGAAGGTTGAGAACCACTGATCTAGGTGGTTCTGCCTTATAGTGTCCCCATGTACAAAGGAAGGAAACACTGCCTGCCTGGTCCTCTTCCATTTTCACAATTGTTCTTATGTTTGAAACAATTGCTGCAGACACTAAGTCAATACGTATCCTTGAGTGTCTTCCTCCTTTGCATTGCTTCACTACTTTACTAAGCATGATTTGTCCCTGCCCAGGGATTGGTCTCTCCTAATATCATGTCCAAAGTACAAGAGACAAATTTTGTCATCTTCACTTCTAATGAATATTCTGACTGTACTTTTTCCAATACAGATGTGTTTCTTTTTTGGCAGTCCATAGTATTTTCAGCATTCTTTGCCAGCATGTTCCATTTCTCCTTTGGCATTCCTATTCACTGTCAAACTTTCACATGCATATGAAGCAATCAAATGTACCATAGCATACGTCATGCAAGAGGTTTTGTGCAGCAGATTTACCTAGTGCATTATGTCCTTTGATTTCTTTACTGCTGTCTCCACAATAATTGATTATGAATCCAAGCAAGAAGAAATGCTTGGCAAAGTCAATTTTTTTCTCTGATCACAATAATTATTCTCTTCTTGGCATAGCTTCTGCATTAATGGGCTCAACTATAGGAAGGATGGCTTGGCTCACACAGGACCATGCGGTGTTTCCTTTTGTTGTGCATAGGGTCCCTATGTGTCAGAGCCAACTTGATGACATCTAACAATAACATCATAACGTTATCTATTGGACCCGCTGTGAGGGTTTTGGTTTGCTTTTCATGGAACTGAATTACATACTGAAGGTTGCAATCCCTGATCTTCATCAGTGAGTGCTAAAGTTCTCCTTACTTTCAGCAAGCAAGGTTGTGTCATCTGCATACCATAAGTCATTAATAAGTTGTCCTCCAACCTTGATTCCACATTCTTCATCTAAACCAGCTTCTCTGATGATTTGTTCAGCATACAGAATGAATAAGTATAGTGAGAGTTTGCAACACTGACACACACTTTTCCTGATTTTAAGCCATGCAATATGCCCTTGTTTGGTTTGCATAACTGCCTTTTGATCCATGTAGAAGTTTCACATGAGCATAATGAAGTGCTTTGGATTTCCCATTTTTCTCAGTTACCCATAGCTTACTTTTATTCAAACAGTCAAATGCCTTGGTATAGTCAAGAAAATATAAGTAAACATCTCTCTGGTACTGTCTGCTTTGAGCCAAAATCCATCTGGCATCAGCAGTGATCTCTCTTGTTCTATGTCCTCTTCAGAATCCCACCTAAATGTCTGGCAGTTCCCTGTCAATCAATGTACAGCTGCAACCGTTGAATGATTTTTAGTAAAATTTTACTTGCATGCAATTTCATTGATCTGTAATTTAGCATTCTGTTGGGTTGCCTTTCTTTGTCATGGGTCCTAATATAGGTCTCTTCCAGTCAGTTGGCCAAGTAGCTGTCTTCCAAATACTGTGGCACAGAGTAGTGAGTGCTGTCAATGATTCATCAGTTGCTCAATCATTTCAATTGTATTCCATCATTTCCCAGAGCCTATTTTTGGCTAATGAAATCAGTGCAACTTGAACTTCTTCCTTCAGTACCACTGGTTCTTGCTCATGTGCTATCTTTTGAAATGGTGGAATGTGGACTAGTTCTCTTTGGTACATTGCCTCTGTATTCTTTCCATCTTCTCTTGAATCTTCCTGCATCGTTCAACATGTGTCCATAGAGTCTTTCAAGATTGCAACTACAGTCTTGAATTTTTGCTTGAGTTCTTACAGTTTCAGATATGCTAAGTGTGTTCTTCTCTTCTGGTTTCCCAATTCTAGGCTTTTTCACATATTGTTATAATAATGGTTTTGCCTTCTCAATCTGCCTTTTGAAATTATCTATTTAGTTATTTGATTTAGTTACTTTCTTCCCTTTGCTTTAGTTACTTTCCAATAAAGAGCAAGCTTCAGAGTCTTCTGAATTCTGACATCCTTTCATTTTTTTCTTCCCTTCCTGTCTTTTGCTTTCTTCATGAATGGTGTTCTTGATGTCCTCCCACAGCTCATCAGGTCTCTGTCAGTGTTCCATGCATCAACCATGTTCTTGAGATGTTCTCAAAATCCAAGTGGACTAGACTGGAGGTTGCATTTTGGCTCTTGTGGATTTAATTTGCTACAGCTTTATCCTGAACTTACATATGAGAAATTGATGGCTTGTTCCACAGTCAGAATCTGGTCTTGTTTTAGATGCTGATATCGAGCTTCTCCATAGTGTCTTCCCACAGATGTACTCAATTTGACTTCTGTGTATTCCATCTGGAAAAGTCCATGCATATAGTTGCCTTTTGTGTTGTTTAAAAAAAGTATTTGCTATGAATAACTTATTGGGTCTGCAACATTTTATCAAGCAGTCTCTAGGTTTTTTTCTATCAACAAGAGCATGCTTTCCAAATACTGTTCCTTTTTCCTTCCTTCCAACTTCTGCATTCCAAATGCCAGTAATTATCAATGCATCTTGATTGCATATTTGATCAATTTCTAACTGAAGTCACCAATAGAATTCTTCAATATCTTCCTCATTAGCTTTTGTGGTGGTTGAGTAATAGTTGTATTGATTGGATTTCCTTGAAGGTAAATAGATAAAATTGTATCACAAATAGCATTGTATTTTATGATTAATTTTGCAAAGTCCTTTTGGACAGTGAATGGCATGCCTTTCTTATTGATTGTATTCTTCTGTATATATTAAATCATATGATTTTCTGACTCTAAATGTCATATACTAGTCCATTTTAGCTCACTTATGCCTACGATATAGATCTTTAAGCATTTCTTTTCATTTTTGATAATTTCCAATTTTCCTAGATTCATAACATCACACATTCTAAGTTCAGATTCTTACCGGTAGCTGATTTAATCATCCCTCATCAACAAATGAAGATCCTGATGGTTCCATTCCCACAGGCTTTCCTGGACTCCTGCCACCATAGTAAACTCCACTCTGAGAAATCAGCTCCTCCTTAGTCATAATTACAGTGCCCTCAGAATTGAAGGGTCCATCCTCTGGCACTGTCTCTGACAACGTTCTTAGTCTTTAGTCCTTCAGTATCTGACAGTGTATGTATATGTATATATATATATATAGATATATACATTTTTTGTGCAAATTTAAAAAATTCAGTTTCAGTGGCTCTTTCCTTCAAAGTGGGGAGCCAAGGTCTTCTTTGTTGTTTGTTCTTAGGATAGAATATATAAAATTAAAAGTACCATATATACTCATGCATAAGCTGAGTTTTTCAGCACATTTTTTAATGCAGTTCTAGTGGCAAAATCAGGTGTCTTGGCTTATATTTGGGTTGGCTTATCCTCGAGTATATATGGTATCTTATAAACATAATTATCACAGAACAATGATTAGGTAAATTTTTGTTATTCTTTTGTGCCATTGACTCAGTCTGACTCTTATCAGCCTAATGTAGAGTTTCTGTGGTGCAAAATAGAAAAGCAGAGAGCCTAATTTTTCTCCATCAGAGTAGTTGCTGGATTTGAAGCACCAATCTTTCAGTTACCATTGAAAAATGCTGTTTTTAACCAGTGAGTTTCAATATATTCTTGGAAGAATGGAATGATAAGATAATGGATTCATTCCCCATGAAATTTTAAAAGTCCTGTTATCAAAAAGCCCTGGTTGTATAGTGGTTACTTGTTGGCCTGTGATCTGTATGGTTGGCAGTTCGAAACTAACA